TTCGCCGTCAGAAGATACTTCCGGTGTGATGCCTCTCTTTCTTCCGCTTGTTTCAGGGAAAGAAAAATAATCCCTTTTTCCTGGTATGAGCAGCTTCCCTTGCGGCCCCGGAGAGGGGGAGTTGTGGTTGTTGAGCCGCGATTCGTGTATTGTTTAGGGGACAGTCCTGCCGTATCGTATGATTTATTAAAACTAAATATGGTTCCCACTCAACCCTCTGAGAAAGCAGGAAATTGTCGTGAAGCATTTCTTCCAATCGTAATCTTTCCGAGGGAAGGCTGCATCTCAGAGGGATACTATTGCAGCCCCTATTTTCCAGGATTCTCCCTTCTCCAAATTTACTTCTTAGTGGCATGCTCTAAAAGTACTCCCGACAATGCCACTAAGAGGAACGTGAAGGCAGTTCTGCGACTGTGGTATCGCTGCGCGGAAGGCGGCAATGCTAGCACTGCAGTGGCGCAACCAGAAAGTCACAGGAGAGCAGCTTTATACACATTTATTTTACGTAATCTACAGAGTCTGCAATCAGTGTGTATCTTCAAATGTACTGGATCGTGAATGGGTCATGCCCAGTGGCGTAACTCATGTACCCGTTCTTCCTTTTGTTCACTTAGGTATCATTTTAATTCCTGTATTGGGGTTTTATTCAGGACTGTTTGGTAGAATTATGACGGTGTATCTTTTCAGTCTATGTGTAGTTTCGCTATTGTCCAATAGTTCGCTGCTAGTGCATTAATGTGGTTTCCTGATTTTCGTAACTATTTGGTATTCCACTTCTTTATTTCACTGAGCGCTGCGTTCATTGAAGCTCTTCATGCCTCCTGTGACTGTTTATGTGCCAAGGTGCGTTCAGAACGGGTCGGAGAGTCTCGGATTGAAAGAGCACATTTGAACGCCAGAAAGTCGAAATCACTGAATATTGGTGGCTATTTAATGACGCTATTATTAGCTGTACTATAGGCTTGTAGCGCACGGCGGTAAGTAATTGAATTGGAAAGGATTTGGAAGGAAGCGGCCGTGACGTATTCAAACTATTAACCTGGTATTTACTGGGCGTGATTAAAACTAAACTCTGGGTCAGGCAGGCGGCTTTAGGACCGAGATTGGAAGCTAGAACCTTCTGAATATAAAGTGTGGCGCCGGCTACATACATGCACGCAACATATGCAATCCCTTTCTAAACAACGGATCGGTAAACACGCTTGCAAAAATTAAGTATTGTTGTAAACTGTTTTCTATTCGGTCCGCGAAAAGTAGTGATAAAGAAGAATTCAGTTGAGAATTGGCAGTCGAGTGTAGTCCGTTGAAGGTCAGCCGACGTCTGGGAAGAATATTCCGCTTTCGAATCGTCGGTTAACTTTCGACGGGCTATACGCGCTTATATTCCAAGGATAGAATTCTTCATAACCACCGGTGGGAGAACCTCAAGTCCTGCATGAATTGTGTTCCGTTCTCTCAAACACAATGAGAGGAAATTTATACGGAGCATGAAAATAAAATTCCATGAATTCTGGGTGTCAGGTAAGGATGGACGTAAGAGGTCAGTTTCACGTTTCGGCCGGTTTGCCTCCAGAAGAAATATCCCCTCTGTAGCTGCTTGTTAGGAGGCAGGGTGTGGTCCACAGGGCGAAGAGAGAGATATTCAACATTTGAAATGGAATACGTGTCCCTCATCATTTCTGCACCCCATTCTCCCCGCTGCTGAGATTATTGGGAACCATCACTCGGCTTCTAACAGTGAAGTCAGTGATCCACATGCGAACCACATTGCGTTTAATTTATCTGCGCCACGTTCGTTAGAGCCGCAGGAAACAGGTAATCTAGAATTGTTTCAATTAACTTTAAATTACAGCAGAATTGTTGAAAACAGACGATGCAAATGGCGATTAGCATTTCAAAAGCACACGTTTGTTTGCGCATGCCCCTGCGCAGTGCCATTTACATATAAACAGGAGTATCGTGTCTGTCTCGCTGTGAATATTGCAAGGGTTACCAACATACGGAACAGTTGCTTCCCCACCGCCCGGGACCATGTGCGCTCTTGTCATCGGGCCTCTGTCCACGCATTACTTTACAGTAACATCACTGGGCAGTTCTGCTCTGCTTAGCTGCACTGAACTGAATCAACAACTGAAAAAAATGCCTGACAACTCACTGGCTAACGGCAGTGAACTGATCATTGAAAACTCATTAATTTCTACTCGTCTGCCCCCCCCCCACCTCGGCTGCACTGTACTGAGAACTGAAAGCTGATTCACTCACTGACTGCTTCCCGCGTGGGCACGTCACCCACATCAATCGAGCGGTTTCCCTAACAGTCCAGAGAGAGAGAACAGTCTCGATAGAATTAGAGGCGCGCGCAGGCCAGGTGATCCGACCACATTGCTTTGTGTGCCCGCAGGGCCAGAACAAGTACTTCTTTACTTGGTCGAAATGGCGCAAAGCATCTAGCCTTAAAACTTTTAGTAACTTGATGAATGTCGCGCCATAGCTCAAGCGGTTAGTCGCTGGCTTTCCACCGCGGTGGCCCTGGTTCGATCCCGGGGTCTGGTCAAGTAGGATTTGTGGTGGATAAAGTGGCACTGGGGCGGGTTTTCTCTGAGTACTTCGGTTCACCCTGTCAATCTTCATTCCACCAAATTCTCCATCACCATAATCACCCTGGCCAGATACAATAGGCCAATCAGTGGTCTCCGTGCCGCGTGGACCCAGTTGGACTCCACTCCCCACTAAGCGAATTAAAAAAAAAAAAATAAAAAACTTAATGAATGAATTATTTCTGTGCTTGCTAACCATATACAGCACAATGCTTACACTATGTGCTGCCTTCTTAACGTTAAATTTCCTGAATTTTTTCCCCACGATGCATTTATGTGTAATTATTGGCAGAATATGCAGTAATTATTTTGGAATAAAAGTTATCATGACGCTTCCTGTGATTTCGTATAGTCCGGTAGACGCTTACTGAAGTTTCGGAGGATTATAATGCCTCCATCATCAGGTTCGTTTTTCTGGCTTCTTGCATCTTGCAGTTTGCTTACGTGACTTACTCTACTATCATGATGATGGATGCAGTATATTCCTCCGAAACTTCACACCCCAGAAGACAGTTCCCCCAGCTGCTATTTCCCTAAGGAGAATTAGGTAAACTGGTATCTGTAGTGGGCATACAGCGCGCTTTCTCTGAGGCATGAGATATGTTCTTATCCTCTAAATATATTTGATATTTGAGACGGTTAAGCACCGCGGCATATCGACGTATAGGGAATTGGAGTTATCGCTCCACGCTTTCTTAACCTCGGCTTCACAGCTTGTTCCTCCGAGACGTCGGTAACCACACACAAGAGCACAACCTAAAGACCCAGCGATTCGGCGTGTAGCTAGCGGTCTAGACTTGTATTTTGACCGGAACATCGATTGAGCTATTGGTTTTCATCAACCTCTCTAGGTAGTAGGAGCCGCGACAGTGTAGTTAGTACAGCGACTGGCTACGGACTGGACGACCGGGGGGTTCGAGTCCCAGTAAGGGCAAGAATTTTCTCTTCTCCACGTCGTCCAGACCGGCTTTGGGCTCCACCCAACATCTTATCCAATGGGTACTGGTGGATACTACCCTCGGGGGCAAAAGCAGCCGGGACGTGAAGCTGACCACTCACCTCCAGCTAGTGCCGAGGTCAGGAAAATGTGGATCTATACATCCACTCTCCCATACGTCTTCATGGTGTAGTGCTTAATTAATTAAGCACAGGAACAACTTTACCTTACCTTAACTTAGCTCCAGATAGTACTTCATATTAGGCGACAGTAGCTTCAGTCAACATCCGTTGACACTATTCGCTAATCTTCTTAATATGTTACACCATATGGCCTGAGCTATTGATAATGTCGTTAAATGATCCATGAATAAATGAAGTGTACAATATTAAAATAATGCAAAGCAGATATTATATTGCGCTTATCCTGCTGTACACAAGGAGCGCGTAAACATTGTGCTACCGGTGGGTTTGTGTCATGGTGTTACGTCAGATGGCTCCAACTGGAAGCTCTTGGTTTCTGGGTAAGTACAGATGCACTCCACGCTCTACTCCGGACACGAGATTGCACACCGACGCAGGGACTAAGGTGACGTGCTTTATTTCCGATGCTGTCATATCCCAAGCGTCTGGTCGTAACGAGGGCAATGGTTTGCTCTGAGACGTGTTTATTATTCTCATCTCGTCTGTACGTGTCTCGCGCACGTTCTCTTGAACGTCTGTCAGCCATTCTGAAGTTCATTTGTACATGATCAATCATCGCAAACTCTGTCATGGAGCCAACAGCTAGGCTAATGACCCGAACCTGCCGTTCCTCATAAACTGTGTCTCGGGTGCGTCATCGTTACATAGAAACGTAAACAGTCAGAACATCGTTTCGTAAAGTTACTAGGTTTTGTTTTCAACAGAGCTCTCTAATTGCGATCAGAACCTCCTTAGCAGACATGAAAAAGGTAAAGCTGTCCCTGTAACATGATTATTTTACTGTGAGTTGTTAGCCCCATGCCCAACCCCCAAGCTTGAGGGCCACCCCTTGTCGGCTTCATAATGTGTACTCTTCTCCAAGTATACGTATAATGATCAATTCAAGGAGGATGAGGTGGACAGGGCATGTAGCACGAATGGGGAAGACGAGGAATGCATATATGATATTGGTAAGAAAGCCAGAAAGAAAGAACCACTGGGAAGACCAAGGCGTAGGTGGGTGGACAATATTAAAATGGATCTTAGAGAGATAGGTTGGTATGGTACGGATTGAATTCATCTGGCTCAGGATAGAGACGAGTGGAAGGCTATTGTGAACACGGTAATGAACATTCGGGTTCCATAAAATGCTGGGAAATTCTTGAGTAGCTGCAGAATTGGCGGCTCCTCAAGAAGGGCTCAGCACCTTGAGTTATAATCTGATAGTCTTGCTGGCGGTATGTCCTAATGGTTCAAGCTGATTTTGGCCGTTCTATGTTACAGGTGCACGGATCTCAGGAAGTGATGTGAAGGACTACACTATCAGACACCGAACGAGCCCTTAAAAGGTTAGCTCATACCTGTGTATCCCTTAATCGCATGGCTACAGACCTCGGTCTGCTACTCTGAGGGTAGAGTTTGAAAGAGTGGTACGTAGGAATGTATAGGGTCATTATAAATGATTTAGGAGATGAAGCGGTTACAGGTACGCACCAAGAAAACATTGTTTTCGTTAGCAGTGCTGATTGTAACGCATAGCCACCAGTGGCGCTCCGATCACTGCCAAAGGAAAATGGCGTCTCAAATGCAAATGGCAAAATTTGACTTGTAATAGAACGAACAGGACACGTTCCTTTAAACTCCTACTTCACTGGACCTCATTCCATGTCACTTCTACCTACTGGGATATGTGAAGACAAGGTACACTAACCCCTACTGCTACAGTCCCTTCGAGAACTTCCAGAACGATTTACGTAGGGCGTAGGCAACGTCGATGGGTCACAATTGCGGCGTAAGTGGGAAGAGTATGAACATGGCGTTGAAGTTTGCAGTGTAAGTAATTGAACATTTATGGAATATCTTCAGAAAATCTTTGTGAGTTTACTTGCTGTTTTCATGTTGTTACATACTTTTTCCTGTAACCGTTTCGAAAATGTACTAATATCTTATCAGTAAAAGAATTTGTGATAGACTCGTATTTTGACCTAGGGGTTCTTTGGAGATACAGGAGTTGTATATATGTCTGAATGAGGGAAATATGATATGTCTTCAAATTTTATTAAGAATCTTCTTATGTTGCGGTCGTATGTAATACAGAAAATGAATTCCACAACGTTAAAATTTATCTTGTTTTCTGTAAAATTACAAATATTTGTAGATTTTTTCCCGTTATCTGTTGTGCTTAATTGGATATAAACCACAAATTCTTTTAAGAAGAAAAAAGTAGCCTCTTATACGAGATGCATACCAGAGCAGAGCACAAGGCGAATTGACTGGACGAGGTTGCGTTCCTTTGGTTTTGGTTTCCGCTCGCACTTGTTCGTTTTCATGCGGAAGGGATTTCGAATCGGCCTATGAACCCTCGGAATACAAGCCAAGCTGACTCTATTATATGAGTTCGCTTGTGTGCAAATTCTTCATGCAAAATTTCAGAAAGCAAGAGAAGTTTGTATTTCCTTTCTCGAGACTATGCCTTCCTGTAGAAGTGTTCGTGCTTGCGTGCGTGTGTTCCTCCCTCGCACTGATGTGCTACTCCGCGTTGTTCTGCTTTTGTTACCCAGAAACTACACTTGAGCAGTGGCTTCGGAACATCAACAAGTCATATACTCGCTTTTGCTTGCTTTTTCAGCTTATTAAAATATTTAGTCTTTAATGTATGTACGCGCAGCTAGCACACCTCGCGGCATGATTTTATCCTAATTTTATACTAAATAAAGGATATATTTGCTGAACACAAAACTCTTCTGTTCCGACGTGAGGTTTTCCTTCCGAAAACCCCTCAAGCAAGCCACAGCGTTTGTCTTTACTGCGCAACTTTTGTTCCCAGCCGCCATGTTATCCTGCCGACTAACCCGACAGCGGTAACGCTCTAGACATATTCAGGAGGTGTCTGGTTCGAATCCCTGCCAGTGCAGGGACTTTCTGGGGGGTTCTCTTTGTTCCGGTCCCTCCAGACAAATGCCGGGTTACGTCTGCTCCCAGATCCTTCCCAGTTCTTCAGCAATCCTGTCATTCAAAGCTGTATGTATATGTGTGTGTTTCTATGCGCGTATAGTGACGTGTCTAGGCAACGGTAAACACGTTCCCGTTGCAACGGATACGCATACAACAATAGAGGTACTGTTGGAAACGGTGTTTACTATTCGGTTCGTTCGAAGGGGTTATAAGGAGGACAATTGAAGGACCCTGCGAGTCGTAGGAGGCGACGAAAAGGGAAGTCTCAATTCTGAGAGTAAAATATGGTCGCGAGTCCCAAGGGACTCGGATCCGAGTAAGACTGCGCTGGCAAGGGCCAGCAGCATATACAAAAGACAGACCCGTCCTCTCGTCAGAGAAGGCGCCCCACAGAAAAAAAGACCGTAACTGTCAAACGGTAATAATTAATATCTGGTCATTAGCCCCAAATGGGGCAATACACCAAGACTTACTGACTGACCGTCAGTCGCAATGTGACTTTGACTTTGACTTTGACTTTGACAAGTCTCAAATCTGAGAGAGTAAAATATAGTCACGAGTCTCAAAGGACTCAGATCCGAGAAAGACTGCGCTGGCAAGGGCCAGCAGCATATACAAAAGACAGATCCGTCCTCTCGTTAGAGAGGGCGCCCTACAAAAATGGGACCGTAACTGTCAAACAGTAATAAATACTTGGTCATGAGCTCCAGATAGGGCTCGACACCAAGACTTACTGACTGACAGGCTCTCAGTCGCAGTGTGAATTTGACTTGAAAAATACACGCAAAATACAAGCAACCTAAACTGGGCGGTGGTCAAGTTTAGGACCGTTCAAGTGACGAAGCTGCCGTTGTGGCATAAGATACGTAACGTAGTCATGACCTGCATTTCGAAGCCTATACTGACATAGGGCTTGTATACTATGCAAAAGGAAGAATTTTCAGTAACATGCTATATGTGCGATACATACACTTGACGAAAGGCCAAGCATATTCATAAGAGACAAACCCGTCTTCCCATCACAGAGGTCATTACATAAGGACTATGACCACAAGAGTTCAGTTGTAAAAAAGAATAACCGGTCGTGAGTCTCAAGGGGCCTGGCGTCAAGATGAACTGATTGGTGGTAAACCGCCTGTCGTAAAGTAACTTCGACTTTGAAGAATAGACGCAGTTGGAAAGGAACCGCCGTTCAGAGAGGATTAGCCATTGTTAAGAGCAGTTACCAGTCAACTACTAGTAAAGACATTGCGCGCTGGGAGAACTTAGCGTGGGCTGACGTGAACTGTTAAATCTGAAAATTAGCAATTGCGTTATAATTAAGTGTATTTACTAATTGTGTGTTAAAGTAGGTCATTAAATCCAGTCTCCAATCTAGAATCCCGTCAAGAGTATTTTCCACGCCGTTACTGCGTTTCTGTATTACTTACTTCATGGGGAAAATAATATTTGAAATGAGTCCCTACATGTTTGATGCATAACTCAGATCTGGGTTACCGTTCTACAAGTTGACTGGTGAGTTTAAATGTTAACATTCCCTTTAACGCGACATAATATGGTAGCGTAACTGATTTCTGGGCCACACTGTATAGTGTAGTCTCTTCGGAAGGTACCTGCGTTTCGGAAAAGTTATCTGCCTCCATCTTTGGCATAGAACAAAAGTTGCGTAAGGTTTGTTGGAAACGTCGTTATCTTCCTACCAGACTACACGAAGGCACATCCCCAAAACAGCTATCATCATTAAGCATGTAAAATTTGAGGTTCTCACACCAGTGGTTATGCGGAGTATTATCTTGCGGGACAGGAGTATAACGCCGCGTAGTCCTTTGCAAGTCAACAGACGATTCGGAGAAATACGTCGCCTTAATCTTCAGGGTTGGAGAATATGTCAAGAAAGTAGCATGCAAAATCGACACTGAATATGGAGACGATATATTTCTCCGAAACGTCGGTTAACTTACAGCGGACTCTCAGACGTTATATCCCAGTATTTTTCATAACCACCGCTGTGAGAACCTCAAATCCTAACTACGGAAGCTCCGTCCGTATTTAAGTGGAGTGGCAGGAACCTGATATTCTGTGTAAAGATTGTGAAGAGAGATCGACCTGTTTTGTAGCTCTAATTTCCCTCCCCTTGAAGTTAAATTGTCGTCACATATCGATACATTTCGAGAGTTGAAACTGAATTCCTGAGTGCCATTACAGAAAGACCTGTAGTATTTATAGAAGGCCGTGGATAGATCGTTGCTTCAGTCTCAAAGGAACGGTTTCCCTCTTCGATGTTACAAGCAGCCACAGCCGAGAGGACCTTGCAGCTATGCCCGAACTCCAAAACAAATAATCACCAAGGTTAAAAATGCACGTTTCAGCAATACGGGAAGCATAAAATACATTAAGAAGCAGCCATTGTTGACATTCTGTGAGAACGAGTGAACTGCTGCATAGCCGCTTTTGCCCGTTTGCCGGGAGCAAGGCAGAGAATGCTAACATGACTCTTGTCCCAATGGAATACGCCCCACATTTCGGCTGTGTTCCAGTTTTTCTCCATGTGACCTATGCAGAATGTCATTATCGCCTCTTACGTTAATAATTCACTGGTAATTAAATGCGAGGCCTGATATGGTAGTAGTTGTGTTCCGTGTAAATTGGCTGAAGCGGTGAAACTTTTCACTTGGCATCTGTAGAAGGGCTCAGCTTCATGGAGTTATAGTTTATTTGTGAATCACTATAGAAGTTATGTAGTTTTGGTATTTGCTTTTTCAAACTACTTTTCCTAACATAGCTCAGTCGGTAGAGGGACAGACTACCGGCTGGGATACCGGGGTCTGTTCCCTATAGAAGCAAGAGGGTTTTTTCTCTTCTTTACCGTGCGCAACCGGCTCTGGGGCCCACCGAGCCTCCTACTCAGTGGGTATCGGGACTCTTTCCCAGGGGTTAAAGCAACAGGGGCATGAAGCTAGCCATTCATCTCCATTTAGTGTCGAGGTCAAGAATGATCAAGCTATACGTCCACTCCCCATACCTCTTCGTGGCGTGGTACTTTAACAGTTAAGCGCAGGGACAACTTTAACTTTAATGAATCCCTCCATAAACAATATCGAATATATGCCACTTATGCTAGGCTTCATAAAAGTAAAAGTATCATCCGTGAATTCTTTTGCGAGAGCCTGAGAAAACCTACCTACGTTAAACAAGGGAGTGTTAGCCGGGTTGCGAATGGAGCAGATGGGACTGTGTTCCACATCCATTGGTTGCTGTACGCATTCAGGGGAAGCCCCTGCAGTCACAGCCTGCTCTGTTGTGACATTGACATTTATCATTTCGCGTTAACCAGTAGCCTCATTATTTAAGCAGAAAGTTTATTTTCTTCATTCATGACGCAATAA